AGTCAATATTTCATGCTCATTACCATTCATAACAGAACCCAACAAAGGACGGAAGAAAGCATCATTACCTCCAGTTCCACCTACCTTGGGGGCAGTGTTAGCAATAGAGGGATGGGCAGGAATCTGAGTTGCTTGAACAGAGGGAAACACTCTAGGACCAACCAATCCCTTCAAGAACGGCATGATCTTTTGAGCTAACACTGGGTCTAAGGGACGGATACCTGTAGTCTCAGCCTGCACCTCTTCCTCTTGTCCAACATCCTCAGCTATCTCTTCATGACGCGCATGAGGGTTCTCATTCCTAGAAGCATTCTCAACAGGAGCTCCATCCCCAACGGGGGTTACTCTTCCATGACCTCTACCCCTAGCTTTTTCTCTAACACTGCCTCGACTGTAACCTCTCGTTGTAGATTCCTCAACTGGAGCATTGATGGGAGCTACGGGTCTGACGCCGTTGAATCTAGTGTTAACCATCTGCGGACAAAAGAGTGAAGGAGGCTAGATACCAATTTGAATTGCCAGATACGAAATAGAATCAAGTTATAGCACGAAAGGAGCCAAGAAAAAACATAGAGATTTCCTAAAGAACTATAGCCTCTCGAAGAAAAATACAAACGTCTCTGTACCGTTCCGCAACACTTTACTAGACTCATTTTGGTACATCGAGATCAACAAACCTAGACCCTAATACCAACTTTGTCACGACCCAGACCATCGTGACTGGCACCCACACTAACCCTCCGGTGGGATAACCGCTAGCTACTAGAACCCAAACCAAGAAACTAAACTAAAAACTAAAGCATTTAAGTTACGGAAGCAAGTTAAATAGCTAAAGACTGAAGTTCCCATAAACTTCCAAAAGATCTAACAACTAAACAATGCGGAAAATACACCTAGAACCTGAAAGTCAATGTACCAAAACATCTAAAGTTCAAAGAGTCTAAACAAGAAGGGTTACAACCCCAAACTAATGAACTAATAACTAGCTAGAAAATCTACGTTCGAAATGTGGACGTAGACAGAAAGAGAACTCATGCCAGCTGGAAAAACTGACTCACCCTTGAATTTGAACGACGATCACTGATCTTCTAAGCGAGGTTTGTCAATAGCCACCTGAAGATACCCTGTACTCAACTAAGAAAGAGCAAGTGTAGTTTCAGTACACAACCACAGTGTACTGGTAGGATCACACAACTATTCCACTCAGTGTAACATACGTAAGTCAATACAACAATATAATCACATGCATATATCAAACATATACAATATTAACAACATTCAAGAACAATGGAGCATTTCACAAATCTCAATTATACAATTATGTCAAGTCAATGGTCCTCTCATGGAACCCAAACCCAAACTGTTAGCATACCGGAACGTGGTACCCGATCCAATGATTATGCCGGAACATGGCAATTGATCCTATAATTATGCCGGAACGTGGCAACCGATCCAAGTTAGTGTGTCGTAACGCAACACCCGATCCACTCAACAAGCCACAATCATAATCACAAGTACATTCTCATAATCATACAATCAAGTCATGATTCATAGCATTCATCACAATCATATATCCTCATTTACAACAAGTGCGATCAATAATGCAACATCCGCATACATACATGTATCATAATGAAGCAAGACAAACATACATCACACAATCATAGAATCACAGCTATCACCTACCTCGAAACAAGCTTGAAACCCTAAGAACTTGATTCTTCCCTTTCCGAATTTGTTCCGCTTGTTCTTGGTCTACAAACAATCAATATAACATAGGAATCAATAAACAATTACTAATTACCCGAATTATTAACAATTCTATCAACCCTAGATCATACCCATGATCCCATTATACAAATTAGGGCTTTTTCCATCATAATTCTTAGATCAATACTCTCCCCCCTCGATAACTACCCATTAAATTACGTTCTACGGATCAAAAAATGGATTCGAGGAGTTAAAATCTTACCTTTGGCCTTAAAAATGGTGGAAAACTGTCAAGAATCGCATGGGGTTCGTTCCTTAGCTCTCAAGTTCAAAAATTGCAAAATAAAATGTTTTTGGGGTTTATTTACGACTTTAAGTCGCGTCTGCCCCGCCACGATGGCACTAGCCTGCTACAGCGGCCCCGCCCTGGCGGCAGAAATCACTGCCAAACCGGCTTGCATGAAACAATGAGCAAAATAATAATTCCTAAACCCCCATTTCACAACATACCTTCAACCAACGACACTCTGAAACTACCCTTTTACGCCAATGTCAGTTTCGGAAGTTCTACTCACCCGAATTCAATTCCGTAAAGTCGTACGAATTCCTTAACGCATTAGCTATCTACTCATGTAATCAAAATCACATTTAAACCACCCAACTACTACCAGATTTCCCTAGACCTTACTGACTCCGATTTCGTCCAAATTTGGACTAGGTTGGAAAATCCCAAGTTACTACGAAAAAGTTTTCCAGCCTAAAATCTTTCCCCATTGGCTTTTCTATAACGACGGAAACCGGTCGTTACATTAATAGTTGTAAAAAAAAAGGAAGGTGAAGTTGTGGTAAAAATGGTGACATTGAAAGTGAGAAACTTTTATGGAGATGGCAATGAATTTTTGAAGAAGAAAGAAGAAAGAAAGAAAAAAATAATAAGAAAAAAAGTTACAATAATAAGAAAATATATTTTATAATAAAATACTTGTAAAAATAAAATTGTATTAGTTATTTTAGGTTGCTCAGTCTCTTCGAGAGAGTGCACACACTCTTTATGTACGATGGACAAAAAGTGATGTAATAATATCAGTTCAAGATTGTTTAGCCAGGTAATATGACGCTCGCATAGTTAAGGTGTCTTTTTGAAAATTTGGGACAAGTTCAGTTGTCACTTTATGTTCTTTCTCTTAATTTAATAAATGTGAAACTTGAATTAGAGTGACAACAAATCCACTATTTATGAAAAAAAGATATATAAATAGATAATAGTAATTTCAACAATAAAACATATAATTTTATTAGTAATTATCAAAATCCGACAATAACAACAATAATGTAGTCATAGTGGTAAAATAATAATGAAAAATGAATTGTTTTGATACATTTTAGAAGCTCGAAAACAATGAATTAAAATAAAGGAGGGTCAAAATTGCCAATCCACAATGGTCTACAGTATCATTAGATCCATTCGAACTTAATTTTGAGTAACTAGATGACCAAGAAATTTGATCTCCTTTTGAGAAAACTCACACTTCTCCATTTTTACATATAGTGTGTATCCCCTCAAATGAGACAACACCACACTTAAGTGTTTCACATATTCATCAAGTGTTGGACTATAAATGTAATGGCACAACCCACTAGTGATATTGTCTGTTTTGTGCCTAGGCCCGCACAAATTTAAAATGTGTCACTAGTTGGTAAGACCTACTTAATTATATATCAAACATCTCTCCTGTGTTTTACCGATGTTGGATTTCTTATCTTAAGCTGGTGTGTCACATACACCCCATTTATGGACTCAGCGTCCTAGCTGAGGTTTGCCCCACCGAATGGGATTTGCTTAGACTCAGCATTGAGGTTTGCCTAGCCTTATCGGGATTTGCCTAAACTCAATTGAACTCTAACCCACATCAACAAGGCTGCCACATGAGTGACTCTGATACCATTTGTAATGGTCCAGCTTGCTGGTGATATTGTCTGCTTTTGGCCTAGGCCCGCACAGATTTAAAACGTGTCACTAGTTGGTAAAGCCTGCTTACTTATATATCCAACATCTCTCTTGTGTTTTGGTGTGAGATTTCTTATCTTAAGTTGAGTGTCACAATAAATGACAATATCGTCTAAGAATACTACCATAAAGTCAACAATATCGTCTAAGAATACTACCATAAAGCCATCAAGATACTCAAGCAATATGTCATTCATTAAGTTACAAAAGGTAGTCGGGGCATTGGTAAGCACAAACGGCATTACAAGGAACCTAGACGATCTATATTTAGTTACAGATGTTGTCTTAGGCTCATTGGCCTCTGCTATCCTAACCTGTCAATAGCGTGCCCTAAGATCTAACTTAGTAAACTAGCATACCTTCCTCATCCTATCCATCATATCCAGCACCAAGGGAATCGAATATTTGTCCTTCCCTATCGCCTTGTTCAAAACCCTGTAGTCCACACACATCCTCAACATCCCATGCTGCTTCTTTTGGAACAAAACAAGTGCACCATATGGAGCCTTAGAAGGATGAATCAAACCATGATCTAGCAACTTGTTCAACTATTTATGCAACTAAGCCAACTCCTTAGGAGCAATACGATAAGGAGCCTACGCAGAAGCAATTGAACCTGGAAGCAACTCAATCTTATGATCAATGTCCCTCCTCGACGGCATTTTCATAGGCACCTTCGGTGGCATCAAATCAAGGAACTGTTTAAGCACTTTTGCCACACAATCAGGCACTTCAACTTTGACATCAGGTTTTATCATGACCAAGGCAACAAGAAAGATTGTTTCTCCCTTCCCCAAGCCTTTGTCAACAACAATAGCAGACAACATAGCACCCTGCACTTTGCAATTTTCCCCGCTTCTCCGTATGGATGAACAACTTTTATGAAACTTGGATTGCCTTCATTCATGATCATCATTCCATCAAGGTGAGGCAAAGGAATAAATATAACCTTCCTTAAGAAGTCAATCCCAAGTATGATCTCAAAATCTCCAAGTGGAATCACCATTAAGTTGTGTTTTCCCATCCAATAAATCACCATTAATTCATTATATATCGATTTCTCTCTCTTTTTTTCCCTCCTCACTGAGTTGTATGTTCGTGAGAGCAATTTGATATTTCACTATCGATCTGTAATGTACTTTGTCCTTTGATCTATCGTCAAAACAACATTGTATTTCTTTTATGAAAAATCTCAAGTAGGCTTTTCCCTATCTGTTGCAAAATGGATACACACATTGAGTGTCCAAAAAACAAGCATGAGGTGAAATATCACAAAGAGAAGTGTATCCAATAAAACTGTTATTTGGTATCTTAAATAAAAAGTTTCTATTTTCAGATTATTTTAACAAAAAACCTCTATACAAAGGAATAAAGATCATGTCTTATCTTATTTCTAAATTCAAATGCAATTAGATGGAACACTATCTATAGAATACAAATATGAATGAACAAATAAGTTGAAGATTTGAGTTAGTTTGTTCCTCCCGCTGGCTAATTTGCTGTGTGGAGTCAAGGGGGTCAGTCACTTCTTAGCTAGGCACAGAAATTGGTGTCCGGGGACTCGGTAGTCCCATATGTGCAATCCTAGGTGATAGCCTAATGTTTGGGCTTGGCCTTGGTGAGGGGATTGGACCAGAGAAGTTGAAGCCTCCATTGACCACCCGAGGCGACAAATTAACTTGTTCAAGTGCTCGGAATTGTAGTTCTGTAGGGTAATCCCTAACGCAGCCAATACGAGGTCCAGTTCCACTTGTCCATTTGCTAGACAAATGTTTGGAGAAGCTAAATGCTTGTGCTTTCTTATTGATGATGATATCCTCTGGTTTCTTGGTTTTCGATGTGCTTCTTTCTTCAGATTCTTTAACAATTGAAAGATCAACAGATGGTTGGCTGTTTGACGCCTCTGAGAGATTGTCGTCATCAACTGCACATCTCTGTATAAGAAAATAAATCATGTATATGACAGTTAGCAATGTTGTTGAACATAACACCATATATATAGTACGTCAACTATTTCAACATTTACATACCTTAACATTTGTAAGATCAACTTTGTGCTCTTCAAGAAAGCTAATGAACTCCTTGAAGTTCTCTTCAGTTGGGTGATAATGACCACTGTATGGCCAAATAGCCTGCAGAAGACAACATATACATAGACAAGATAAGTATATTTATCTTCGCTACGGATCTGTTTGTTGTGTGTATATGGATATTGTTGGATAGTTAGTTAATTACCTCCAGAATTCCAGAATGAGCAACTAGTCTTCCAGCTGCTGTGATAGCACCACCTGATAGAAAACTCGAATGTTGAAATGTGCCCTTTTGCTTCTTTCCTACATACAATGTTCTTGTTGTGCTAAGAACAAATATCGACTTTGAACCCTCTACTGACTGAACTAATACACCACTTTGTTTATATACAAGCTTCCCATTCTCAATGACTACTTCATATGCTTCGCGCTCCTTCTGAAATTGTAAAGCATAAGCAATTAAGTCAAAAAGAAGTTCAAACACATCTAATGATCCATAGACAAAGTATACATCCGGTTAATTAAGTTGCATAAGAACTTACTGGTCCGAGATACTTGATGCATTGATGGTGCAATTTTGTCCTTGGACATTTCTCGAGGTTTATTTCTTTCCCATCTCCAACGTCCAACCTTAATCGCAAGAAAAAAAAGAAGGGAAAACTGATCAGATTGGAGAAAATTTCACCACAAATTCAACTTTCTCAAAAATTTAGTATGTTATATTCGCGATGAAGTACTCACCAGTAGAAGAAAGGCTGAGAGCTTTCGCTCAAAAACCACAAATCATAATAGAAGTGCAAGTTGTGGCCATATCGGTGTCGTGGATCAATCTACACAGAAACAAAACGAAGAGTCAATTGCTAGATCATACGAAAACTTAACTTAGCTTATTTATATGAAAGAAAAATCACTTATTTGCCCAACTTACAGCTTCTAGCCAATGCTGCAGAGCCAATTTTTGAGCCTTTTCATCTTTGGACAATCCTTTTCCAACCTTAGCAGCTCTTGTACGTGCTCTAGCCCATCGAGAAACAGCAGTTTCCGGCTTTTCAACGTTGAAAAATGAAACAGAACTTCTCTTCAAAGCTGCAAAATCTAATGCCTTCCACCTACATAAATGTACGATTTCTTCAATAAACATAAAATTGAGATTGAAATGGAACAGGATTATTATAACACGAACCATAATTCTTCTACAACAACAGCACAATCAGCTAGATTTCTTCTAGTCCTGTAACTCTTGTATACTTTTTGAAGCTTAACAGCTGCAGCATCGAGTTCGCAAACAGGTCGTGGTGAAAACATGATAGCAGGTTCAGGAAGGGCGACAACAGAATCTTGAACTTGAACCAGATTTTTGAATGACAGTGTTGTCTGTAGCATAAGTTTTAGAGGCTCGCAATTTGTTACATTTATCGAATTCTTCTTCGTCGTCGCGATGGTTTCTGACTCTCTTCCTTTAAAACTGTTTGTTCTTATCACTGTCATCTTTCAGTTTACCCCCAACTATTCTTTACAATATAAGATAAACACAAGAACAAAGGAAAACTTTGAAACTTTTTTTTTTTTTTTTATTGTCTTTAAAAATCTTCAAGTTTTTTTCACAAAGATATCTCTTGACTATACAATCTTGGTAGTTATATATATGAGAAGATTCAAGCGTGGATTTGTGGAAAAAATAATTAAAATTAGCAAGTGGACCAGGGAACTGTACTGTAACTGGTCTTTTATTGTTTTTTCTTTTGTGGTCGTCTCAGTTTGAATTGCATTATTTTTATAATTTTAACTTAAAAGTTAAGTGTTTATAAATACTTTTAAATGTAGTTAAAAAGATTTCAAAAGTATTTAATATAATTATTTTAATTTAAAAATATTTAAAATAAGTCGATTCAAACAGGTATCAACTGGTTTTTAAATCTATCGTACAGCGTACTGTGAACAGGAAATTGGAAAAGATATAAGAAAACAATTTTTTAAACTTTGTAACCCACGAGTTGTTTGATCAATTCAAAGTTATGAAATTTCACTTTTTCTAACCCAAAAAATGAGACAATTTTAAGACTTTTTTGGAAAAATTAGGTGGTCAAAGAAAGTAAGCTCTAGGAGGTTTCTTGCATGTAACCCAGCCACAAGGACTCTTGTTTTCCCCCAGAAAGAAAGAAAGAAAAGAAAAAAATTAATTTTCTAGTAAAAAAATTTCTTTTCAAATTCTTGGACTTTACATTGAAGTTAAAATCTCAACCGTCATCAATAATGATTGTGATAGAGAGATAAGTATTTTTTCATTTTTAATCAAAGATCTCGAATTCAAGTCCCCTTTGATATTGAGTTGCCTTTATTAGGAAGTGTTTAACCCTCCAATATAGGAGTCATCGGCACAAATTTAAATTTAATCAGACTCCAATATGAATACCATCGTAATAGTCAACTACTTGTCGAGAAGGGTCATGTAACGCGCCATAAATAACTAAACTGTGACGTGTCGACGTGTTGTTTTGGTTTATCTCCATCTGTTTTCCTCATCTTCTAATGTTGAACAACCCCTGGCCTTAACTATGTTTTTATTTATAAACTATAGTATATTATTAATCAATTTATTTTCAAATAATAGTTGATTGAATCTACTAATTTAAAATGTGCAATTGGGTTGAGTAAAAAATCTATTTTAGATAAAAATGAATTAGGATATTATTAGTACGGCATGGAACAATTCCAAAAAAGATTTGTTCTAAACTGAAAAATGTGAACATGATTATTCAGATTCATATTTGGTAAACCTTTTTCAGTCTTTCTATTTTTACGTGTGTTCTCACTAGCTCAAGTACTTTCATATTGTATTTTATGCATGAAAATGTTTTAGCACGTGAAACAACAAGTTTCAAACACCTTGAATTCTGTAATTATATCATACAGGCAATATACAAGACTGAATAGCAAATTTCCTAATTTTGTTTTATTTATTTATATTTGTAAGGTCCGTTTGACCATGTGAGATAAAATTGTGATTTGAAATTATGAAATGAAATTGAACTTTGTATGGACATACAAATTGAATTTTTAAGTTGTATTGTTTGATCATAAACAAAAACAAATCTCACAAATTGTGAAAACTATTAAAATCACCTCAATTTTTTTTATACAACTTTACCAAATAAACAAAAGTTCATAACAAAAGTATAATCAACTATCACTAAGTTATTCTAAGAAAAATAAAATATTTATTGTCGAACTTTAATTTAGTTCAATAAAAATGTAAAATTGAACATGAGTTGTAGTAATATATCAATTCTCTAACAAAATTGAACATGGTCAATGCCATTAGTAAATAGTAAATATATCTTCATGTTCATATTCCATTAATATTTATCACTCCTTTACTATTCTTGCAAAAGAATATGCAAATATAAAATGATCAATTTTATTTTTACAAAATATAAATTTGTGGGATAACTTTTGCGCTTATTGCTAGAGTCTATGTCGTTGGGATAAGGGTCATTATATTTGATCTCCTTATATGATTTGTACAATTTTCTTTTGATAAACTAATTTTTGAAGTTGATTAATTTTTTATTATGTAATTAAAGCATGATTCATCCTAAATTATCATTTTCAATGTGGGCTCTATCTGATATCTTTGTTGCTTATGATCAGATTGTTGTCTTAAATATGACTTCGATAATTTTCTGATGTTAGGTCATCATATTAAACTGTTCACACTCAAAATGTCTTGGCATGAGTATGAAGAGTCCTATATCTTCGTTGTTTATAGGGTAATATAATTGAAGTATAATTTACATAAATCTCATTAGTGATAAGAGCTAATTACATTATATTATTTCCCTGCTCTTTTTTAAATTATCAAAATCTCTTAAAATTGATAAATTTCAAATATATTACTAGACTTCCGGATACATCCCTTAAAATTTATTGAATTTTAGATACATCACTGACTTTTGGACATCACTGAACATCCAGATACATTGGTGAGCGATGTATCCGATAGAGGAGAGATGTACCAGAGAGGGGATAGGACATCTGAATACATCACTGGACTTCTGGATACATCAGCAAACATCCAGATACATAAGTGAAGAATGTATCAAAGAGGGAGGGATGTATTCGAGAGGAGAATAAAAATGTATCAGCGAGAGGAAATTTTTAATTTTTTTTAAATGATAAGTAATTTTAAATATTAAATAGATATGTATTTAAGTAATTTTTCCATCATTTAAACCATCTTCATCTCTCAAGCTAATTTTCGAAATTTCAATATACACGAACATATATTATAAGTTGGAGCACCTAGTAGTATAAATAATGGTCAAAATCAAAAGAGATTAGTCATGAGTCAATGCAAAATTATGACCATTTTGGATTCTTAAGATATTTAAAAGAGGACTGACCATACCCTGTTAGGCAGTAGGAGTTATGTTAGGGCCGCCAGCCGTATTTTGAGGTTTTGGGAGAGTAGATGAGACGTTAAGCATCGTTGATTAGTTTGGTCAACCTGCTACTCATCCCGATGAGTAAATTAAATATATAGAAATATTTTGGGAAACTTACATAATTTTATTTCTTAGACATACATTAATTTGTAATATTTTGTATTTTATTATATTTTGATGCGTCTATATACATGAGGTCAATATTAAATATATTTTGTTCTCAATACACTGTAACCAAGATAATTCACATGCTTCTGAAATACATAACAAATCTCGTTTGCCTCCTCCCATCGCGTTCAATACTCTCCCAGTATTTGAGGATCGACTGGAATATATATATGATTATCTTGTTCGCCTCCCTTCCCATCTCGTTCCCCTTTTTCTCTATTCTAGTGCGTCTAGTAGTAAATATGTATTTATCTAGGTGTACTTTTTTTAATATGTAATACAAAATTCTTAATTAGTGATAAAAATGTAATATGTGATAAAATATGTAATATTTTAAAAGTATAAATCATAATAGTGTATGTATAGTAGAGTATATTCTAACGGACTCAAGTTTTAGACCGTACATAATTTGCCCATTTTATATAATCTTTAGATATACTTTTTCACTCATTAAGAAGTTATTAAGAAACATATTGTTAACTCCGTTTCTCTTATTTTCTGTGAATTCTAATTTGGTTTGTTAGACAGGTGGCGAATTATGCTCTTTTTTTTATTTATTTAAATTGGATGGGATTAGAAGAAGACCATCTCAAAATTTTCATTGTTGAGATTTTTTAGTACATTTCTTTAAAGTTGAATCTAAACTTTTTAAATCATGTTGATTGTTAGTCGATAAATTTGAATCAATTATTGGATTTGAAGTTCAAATTGTGAGGTAGGCATCTTTGAATCTCGAAACTCAAGAGATGTCATATAAATTAGAACACAAAATGAGTATATATTTATATTTCGCGTAAAAAGATTTAATTTGTGTTTGACCTATTGAAACTGCATGCATTGCATTCTGCTTTGTAGAACAACACAGGGGCGACTCTTTGCTTACAAAAAAGGGTAAATTGTGCATTATAACAAATTATTAATTCAAAATAAATGATATAGCTACAATTTCATTTAATTTCAATTCGCAACAAACTTTTTGTCATTCGCCTCTCTCCCCTCTTTCTGAAATCTCGCTCGTCACTCTCCTCTTTTTCAGTTAGCTGATCTCTCTTGCCTCTCTCACTTTATACAAACACAAATGTATAATTTATGTTTGTGTTTGTGTTTGTATAAAGTGAGAGACACTGTATATACAAATACATATCTCTCCATCCTATACACTTATAATTATACAAATACAAATCTTCCCTTGTCCAATTCTCTTTTAACTTTCTTTCTCTCGCTTTATACAAACAAAAATTATACAAAATACAATGCATAATTTGTGTTTGCATAAAGCGAGAGAGATTTGATATACAAATACAAATGTTTAACTCGATTCAATTATATACGAATTCAAATTTTATGCAGTTATACAAACACAATCATTGATACATATATATATAGTAGTTACATATATACAATTATATAACCGATATACATATATAATTCACCTCTCTCCACTCTCTGCCCTCTCTTGCTCGCCTCTCTCCCCTCTCGCTCGCCTCTCTCCCCTCTCGCTCGCCACTCTAGCCTAAAACAAAAAACATATACATATACAAACGCAATTTTCATAGACACATACAAATTAGAGCCCAATTTATACAAATCGCCACGATTTATACAAATCAGATGCTCCATAGCTAGCATAATTTGGCTATGGAGCACAAATAGCAAAATTATAATTATAGAGCGATAATATGATTTTCATTTTTGCTATTCCTAAAATTTACTCTACATAATTGAGGCATAAGTCTTAGGTCTCCAATTTTTGGGCCTCAATTATTTATCAAGAATATATTTTGTGTTATTAATTATTTATAATAAAAAAAATCTTTTTAAAAAAAATAATTTTATTATTTTATTCTCTTTAACTTCACTCAAACAGAAGAAATTAATTCTTTTCTGTTTTCGCTAGCACTCATATTATTTATCTTCTTGCATTCTCTTTCATCAAATCTTTGATAAGTTAGAGTATTAATGTTCTGTAAACAATATAAGTAAGTA